TTTTTGTTTTATTCAAGTTTATGTAATGAAGGACAGAACGGTAAACAATGCTTCATGGTAAAAACAAGCAACTTTTTCTAGACAGAAGCTGATTTGCAAACGGTGCCTGGTTAGATAGCTTTACTTGCAAAGTGCTGTTCAGAATAAAAACTTTTAAAACATTACAAAAGCCATTATGAGGACACAAAAATCCTTGAATGTTAATATTTCCTTAAGTAACATTTTAAGCTCTTGCTGGAGGGGAGAGCTTGGAGAACATCAACATTCATATTTTAGTTAATTCTTTCCTGTTGCGGTTCTCAGCTTCTGAAAGACGCCTGGCTCCTCCACATGGAGGCTCCTGCATGGAAGTGGCAGCAGCTGCAGGTGGAGAACGAGGACCATGGCGCTCCAGAGTTATGGTGCCACCCAGCTTGTAAAGTGAGTCTTCGACCAAATTCATTACCAATTCACTCCTAATTTCATACTGTTGCTGTTTTTTCCTACTTTTACTTTGTACGTGTCCAAAAAACCATTGAATGACTACAAAATACAGCTGAGCGATGAGGACTGGAAATTTATTGCTGTATTTTCTGTGATAACAATAAAAATTTTAATACAAAAATATTTATTACTTCTTTTTTAGGTAACTATTACTAACCGTAACGGTTTAGTATATTACAAATAAGTAAATTTTTCACGTATTTTGGAGAGAAATTGCAATGAAGAGCTCTAAATGTGAATCGAATGTGAACAATGTGAATCAGTCTTACATTATATTCTTTTAAGTAAACAGCATTTCTTTTGATTACGGTTCTGACCGCCTTTTGAGACAACGAAGTGATTTTGCATTTGATGAATTCTGATTCCCGATCAAATAAAAACACTGAAAATAACGACATCGGTAAAATGACGTGGATTATTGTCATAAACTTCGGTGTCAGACCTGGACAATAAACTGAAAATTACGTGAGTAGGTTATTGAATATTGCTCTTATTTTTGGTTGCTTTACTATATATAAAGTATTTGTGTGGTCAGTACAAAACACCTTGTGGCAACAGTCTCTGTTTTTTACCTGTAACAGTGGGATATAAAATGGCGATGGCGTGAAGCCTCCTTCATGTTGCGTTTGTTTGTCTCTAACTTGTGATTTTCCTCCTGTGTGTTTCTGCTAGGTGGGCCAGTGTGTTGTGGTTTTCTCCCAGGCTCCCTCCGGCCGTGCCCCTCTCAGTCCAAGTCTTAACTCGCGACCTTCCCCCATAAGTGCCACGCCTGCCCCTCTGGGCCCGGAGCCCCCCTCCCTGCGGTCTCAGTCCCCGATTCGAAGCGGCGCCGCCGGCGTCGTCTTGGGAGCCGCCGAGGAGGCTCCGTGTGTGAACGGTCGATGGGGGACGCTCAGACCGCGACCCTCAGCCAGAGGAAGCGCCAGAGAAGGCAGCCCCTCCTCGTCCCAGCAGCCGTCTCCGTCTCAAGGCCCAGACAGCCCCCCCCCTGCCTCCGCTCCCCTCTCTACTTAACGGGTCGTCCCCGTCGCCCAGGACCAGCCCGGCCCAGGGCTGCTCCCCCCCCTCCCGTCCTCACCTGCCGGGCTCCACAGACTACGGCTGGGAGTCGCCTCCCTCCGCCGCTCCGCACCACGACGTCCCAAATACTAACGGCCTGCACACGCCGCCCTCCGGCTCCCCGCTCACGCCGCCTGGAGCCGTGTCCCCGGCCGCCCTGCGGCGAGGCCTGGAGGCAGTGAAAAACAAATCTTCCTCATCCTCACCTTCGTCTTCCCTTCAAACACAGGGGGCTTCTCCCATGAGCGGTGGTGGAGGAGGCACCGGCCCCTCAGGAACCCCTCCGTCCTCCTCGTCCAGCCCCCCACAAGCCGCAGTAGCCGATGGACACGCCATCCCGCCCATAGCGCGGCGCCTCGGCCATCACCCGCCTCAGAGCCTGAATGTAGGCAAACCGCTGTACCAGTCGCTGAACTGCAAGCCCATGCAGATGTACGTGTTGGACATTTCCCGGGCCAAGTCCGTGGGGGTGGTGTCCTGGAAAGTTTACGGTAACGGGACACCCGCGGCCGTCACGGGGCCTCCGGAGACCAGCCTTCACACCGTGGTGCAGGGCAGGGGGGAGCTCATCATTTTCGGAGGCCTCATGGACAAGAAACAAAATGCTAAGTACTACCCTAAAACCAATGCTTTGTACTTTGTACGTGCTAAAAGGTAATGCAGCTCCAGGTGGGACGTTACATTCTGCAGCAACATAAGGGAACTAACACACAAGGCCTTTTACCTGTAGGAAGGATTATAAGAAAGAACTTTATCAGTGCTAGATGTTTCACTTGAATTTCACTATTGTTCCTTCTGCCTACCAAACGCATTCATAAGGAAAGACTTTAACTACACTTTGACAAAATATTTGCTTGAATGAGAATTATCTGTGTGTGAGATTGTTTAGAGAGGACCAGACGTTTTTATTGCCCCTCAACCCGATGGTAAACAACCAAGCAAAACATTTGTGTGTGTGTATGTGTGTGTCTCCCTTTCTGAAGTCTTGAAAAGAGAGAAATCAGTTGATGAAAACCTTGCTTTTTCTATCTCTCTCAAAGCCTGCAATGTTTACATAGAAACAGCGTGAGTGTGTGTGTGTGTGTGTGTGTGTGTTCGTATGCATGATGGTGGTTAAGTTGTTGACTGTGTGTCGGTGAGTCGACAGTGGCTGAACGATGTGGGACTGTACTATAAATATAGTTGAACAATAAAGGCCTCCATGTCTGCTCTGTGCCAGAGTTTGTTCTTGTCTGGTGTGGAGAAAACGCAGCTGCTTTTCCACTAAACAAAGCGTCTCTTTGTTGGGCGTAATGACAATATTAGATGTTCTGCCAAAGCAGAGATGGTGGCATTGTCCGTCTGCTGCTCTTCTCTGCTCCAGTTCACAACTTTGGTTCAAATCAATCCAGCAGGTCAAAACTAAACCTGAAGGGAAGTTAAAACCCAGACGCAAGGCAGACAGAATCCTTAGATTACTGTCTCTGCACAAAATGTTTGCGGAAATAAAACCAACTAACAGCAGATGGCTGATAGGACAGAAAAAGGACATTTAGATGCACAACTTCTACCGCTGCCTTGGATTTAAATACTTTTCAGACACTGTCAACTTAAAAAAGTAAGGTATGAATTCACAAAAAGATTGTATTACAAATATTTATCAGAAGTTGAGAAGACCTCGCTGATACAGCTGGTCCATGTTTATTTCTTCATTTGTGTAAAGCTGTGCCTGGAGGTCACTAGCAGCACAAACTTTATTTTTTTTAAAGAAAAGGGATTATTTCTTAAGAGATAATTATTTTTTATTTATATATCAAACCACAGATGGTAAAATTGCAGGTGAAATGATGGATTTTCTGACATAATTCCAGAATAGAGCAAATCTAACCTTATAAAGAAATTCAGTTGAGGCTTTTTTTTTTATAGAGCAGCATTTCCACAGACAAAATCTTCAAAAAATTAAACAGATGTTAGGTTCAATAAAAATAGTTTCTCATGTGTTTCTTCTGCATTTATCTCATTTTACCAATTGATCAATACAGCAAGTGATTCTCGTCTTGTTCTTGTTGCTGAATCTAAAAGGAAAATCTCCCAGCATCCCAAAATGATCAACCTGTTTCGTTCTCTTTTATTCATAAAATCATGTTTTAGATCTAAAATAATGTTTTATAGATCACTTTACTACAAAAATATGACTAGTTTATTCTCTTCAGTAAAACTTTGCATAGTTCGTTCATTATTGAGAAACACAAGCATGGCCGGATTTTCATGGATGTGGGCCCTTGGCTACAACACATTTTGGTGCCCTATTCATTAAAGAGAAATTATTTTTCTAGTACATCATAGGTAATCCTAAACATAACAGAATTATAATCCCAACTGATGATAGTAAGTTTAAAACATCTTTTGGACAGTAGCTCCATGTTCTTTCCACAAAAACTAAAACTGTACTTGAATTTTGTTTATAGTCATAAACATTTCTGAAATATTATTACAGTTCACCTTCTATGGGCCTATGACGCTTATATAAAGTATGTTTGTGAAACATGTACCCATTAAAAAGAAATAATACAATTAAAAAAATAATAAAATTTGTACCTTCATCTTCAATACCCCCCAAAAATTTCCCCTGTCAGCGCTTTCTAAAGTCTGGCTCAGACCCCATGCTTTCAACTTGAAGAAGAAAAAAAACAAATACAATAACTTCATGATTTTCAAGAACAGTTTTTAATACTTGAGTATTGTTTTTATTTGTAAAAACCTCCAAGATATTGTTGCAACTCGCCTTATATGGGTGGACCTAAAACATAAAGTACAATGTTTGCAAAACACACATTCATTAAAAAAAGAAAAAAAAAACTCTTTAAATAAAACTGGCTGAGCCCTTTCTAAAGTCTGGCTCAGAATCCAAGTGTTTTCAACTTCACCATTTTAGTTCTCATGACAAAACGTCTGGGCGCCTCCAGCGACATCTAGCGGCTGCTTTACACGCTACAGGAAGCATGCAAAAAGATGAGTCATCCAAACGTCACGCATTCAGATCAAGTTTCATCACTAATGCGTTCAAGCTTTGACAACATGCTTCAAAATGAGCTAAACGTAAACAGAACCCCACAAATCACAACTGGATCAGAACAGGAAGGAAACAAAAATGCAGCTAAATAAAACGAGTCTTTCTGTTGGTTTTGCTGGTGGGATTATCCACATTACTCTGCTGGGAGCAGGCTTCTCCCGGTATTGACACTGACCGACTCCGCCCCGCTTTCCTCCTCACCCACACGCTCACCTTTTACCCAGAGAGCTCCGATAGGAGCAACGCAGGGGCCGAGCGCCGCTCCGGCCTCTGATTGGTGCAGGCCGGGGCCCGCGGTGACGTGGCAGGCTGCGCCGCGCCTGCATTGGCTGTGGCGTGGGGCGGAGGGAGGAGTCTGTGACAATGAATGTGCTGAGGACACATGTTTACAATGAGACGAGGAAGAATGGAGCCGCAGACTGAAGTGGCTCAGAGGACAGTCAGCTCACACAGGAGATAAGTGGACCACTGTTTTTATCTCGGACCTGCAGGTAAATCTACTTCCAGCTGGTTTTACTGCTATTGTAGATGTTTGTGCTTAGTGCTGAGCTGCTGTTAAGAAAGTAAAACAGATGAAAGCAGAAATCTTACCAAGTGTTCTAGTTTAAAATAGGTCTTGGAATACGACACCATGTACTGCTTGTAACTTTTCAGCAAAATGCACAAGCTTGTTTTGAGTAAATATGTCCTTAATACAGATAAATAGTTACTATTTCCACTGGCAGATTATTTCACGTACAGCAAGACATTTTTTCCATGTTATAAGTTAAATAATTTTCCAGTGAAACTATTTGTTTTCTAGTGAAACAAGCTCTTTTATCTGGGTGAAAAGTTACTTGCATGTCAGTTCGGTCCTAGTCCAAGTTTACTAGAAACTAGACCACAAATCCTCTGATTTTTGCGTTTTTTCGGAATGGATATTTGTCATTTCAGGAGGATTTTCCATCATCCTCGATGTGGTGGGAAAAAGTGAAGCTTCGACCTTGGGCATGTTGTAAACCAGCCAAAACTCAGACGTGAGAAGTGTTCACTTAATAATGAATGCTTGGATTGGAGGTGGCGGCTCCTGCGTGCGCACTCCCAGACAAGGAAGTGAAGAAGAGTGAGGACAGGGAGGGCAGCAGAGTATCGTTCTGTAACAGACACAAACATGCAAAGCAGACAATAATTCATCCCTGCAGTTGATAAACTGCACCCTCCTCTTCCTCTGCACTGTACGGACCACTCAGGGATGACCAGCGCCCAGCTGCTGGAAACTTCCCCCAAAGAGTCAGCATTCTCCCACAGGATGGCTTCTCCTGTCGTCCCCCGCAGTGCTTTGGGGCCCCCTCCTGCCGTCTGGCCCCCTCTGGACTTTGCGCTGGGTGCTCTGGCCTGCTGCGCGGCCTGCGTGTTCACCAATCCGCTGGAGGTCGTGAAGACGCGTCTGCAGCTTCAGGGGGAGCTCCGCGCTCGGGGGTCCTACCAGATCCACTACAGGGGGGTCCTGCAGGCCCTCTGGGTGGTGGGCCGCACAGATGGGCTCCGGGGCCTCCAGAAAGGGCTCTCGGCCGGGCTCCTCTACCAGGCCGTGATGAACGGAGTGAGGCTGGGTTCTTACTCCTGCTGTGACTCTCAGGGCATCACCGCGTTTCATGGAGGCAGCCTGCTGTCAGGGGCCGGGGCCGGGGCCCTGGGGGCCCTCATCGCCTCTCCTGCCTATCTGGTTAGTAGATCCAAGTTCAAAAATACTTTATTGATCCTGAAGGGAAATGAAATGTTGTCACTCATATTAATTCAAAATTCTTCTAAGATTGATGGCTGTGAGCAGGAAGGATCTCCTGTAGCAGTCTGTTTGAGAAATCCTAGGCACTTATAAAAATATTGATACATTTTCAAAATGATTTCTTGTATCTAATCAATACAATAGATATTAATTTGATCAATTATTTATTTGGGTAGTTGCAGGTCTCTTCTTGCTCTTTTTATGTCTCATGTGTGTAATAGGAAGTTAAAACTCAAGCGCAATGTTGTAAAGAAGATATGCAACGTTAGTTAATGAACAACTAACATTGCAGACGCAGATGGAAAAAACTGAATGCTAAGAAAGACTTTGGTAAGTATCTATTCTCTGGCAGGAATAGATGACAGCCTCCATAAATATGGACATTCATGGTAAAAACATGCAGAGCTTTGTTTTTTGAACTTTTAGTTGCTTTAAATGTTTTAATTGTTGCCCCGACTTGCAGATATTTCCTCAGTAATGGAGATGCATGCCCGTCAGCCATGATTGAGACCAAAGTGTGACATCATATTTTGGTCCATTTCAAACCAGGAAAAATACAAACTTACTGTAGAAAACCAGATTTCTGTCTGAATATTCTAGGACTTTAATGTCAACGCAGGAGGTCACATTTGGACTCCTTAGCATGTAGCAACCTGCTACTTTTGAGTCTAATCATGATAACAAATAACTACATTTTTAAAACGTTTTTATCTTCAGCTGTGACAGTAAAAATAAAGTTCTACAGCTGAAAGCTGACCCTGTTGGATCGTCTCCAGTGTTGTGTTGCTTGTTTTTACATGTCAGGATCAGTAGAAACGCCGCCAAAGGTTTGGTGATGCGAGAAATAATTCTTTGATAAGTGGTTGTGCAATTGAGGAATGACTCTGCATGAACCGGCTTGTTGCTACTTTTGCTTTTAACAGGCTTGATACAATACACACCAATTGTTCAGCTGCATATTTTAGCAGAAAAAAAAAAGACAAAATATGACTTATAAGTTATATATTGGTGTTGGTCTCTCCAAAAACCAAAACATGAGTTGCCTGCTCATGGCCTCTCAGATGTCTTTGTTCTGTTTCCGACCCAGTAGAGCAGCTCTGTCTGAATGTGTTTGTTGGATGAGTCTGAAATTACATTTACCGTAAGGGAGTGTTTAATATAACCCAACCTTTCCTCTTTCATCTGCTCCATTTGTTTTACCAGTATTTTTATGGTTGGTTCATTGTTTCTCTGCTTCATGCGTTCTGAACACCAAACATTTTGCACCGTCATGGAAAGACGATACTGTTTGTGTCCAGCTCACTAAATTGTACACCTCTTCTTTTTCTGCCACAAAACGCGGTCCCATCTGGGTCCTACTGTAAAATAACAAAGAGAGGAGTTTTACAGTCGTCTACACTCTGTATTTAAGCGACTATTTAAATGTTTTGTGGCCGGCAGCTCATTTGTCACTGTCAAATGTGTTTGTTTTGTTCTATAAAGATGTGTGTTGTGTAATCCTTTATTCTATCTGCACTTCAGTAATTGTCAGAGAAATAAGGAAGTTTAAGACTTTGCGCTGCATTTTTCTCCACAGGTAAAGACTCACCTGCAAGCTCAGACTATGGATGCAATCGCTGTTGGTCACCAACATAACCATCTGGTAAGAAAAATATCAGAGCATTGTGTTTATAAATGTTTGTCTTAAAAAACTTCATTCGGTTTTTGATAGAGGTGCAAGTTTTGAATATAACAGAACAAATTTTAAACTAATTTGAATAATGAACTGAACTCAAACTGGAGTGGATGCATATTTGGATTAAAATGATTTTATTGTGTAAAGTGCATTTACATGACTGCACTGTAAAACAAAATAAAGTATGGTAATTTATGGTAAAATACCTGCAGCAGTGTTTGCCAGAAATTTCTCCAAATACAAATTCTACAGTATAAATATGTAAATATGATCAAATCTATAAAATTTTGGCAACCATAGCGAGCAGTATTTTACCGTAAATTGGAGACATTTATTTATTTTATTTTTTACAGTGTAGTGTTGTTGTTAAATTTAACATTTTATTCCAAATGAATCTATATAACAGAGTTTCTGAAATAAGTGACCAAATATATTGAACTTTTTCATAATATCCAAATGAATTCTCATGTATTTGTAATTTAGCGTAAAACTAAAATACCTTAAAAATCATTACTGCTTCATTTAGTTTGTTTTTATTTAGATTGTCTCTGTAAGTCACTCTTTGATTTTCAGTGAAGTTAAAACAAAAAAATTTTTTCAACACTTTAATCAAAATATTAAACGAAATAAAGACCAAATCTCTACACGGACATAGAGATTGATTTAAAAACAAGCACGTCATCTTCCTGACCATTTCTTTTTCTCCAGGGTGTGTCTGATGCCTTTGTTACCATCTATAGAAGAGACGGTCTGACTGGGCTGTGGAGGGGGGTGAATGGGGCAGTCCCTCGGGTCATGGTGGGGTCAGCAGCTCAGCTGGCGACCTTCACCTCCGCCAAGGACTGGGTGTCACATTCTCAGGTACAGAAAGGGAATTAATCAAAATTAATCAACTAAATTTGTATTTGACTCGTCAATAACTGGCTCAAAAAATCATCTTCTAAAAAATATTTACATACATTTTGAATTTAAGATAAAAAAAAATTGTATTTAAATATTCAGAACTTTTCAAGTGGCTGTTTTAGTTTCAACTTCTTCAAATTGTGTGAAAAATAATTTAAGAAATCTCTTATTAAGCACCTTTTGTTATCCATTTGTTAATTGGTTAATCCATAAATAATAATAAACCAATCAACTCTTTTTTTTTAGCTGCAGATTCATCCTTTGCTACAAATCAATTGATATATAAATACATATATATAAACAATAATAGGCCACTTAAAATGATCAGTGTCTGTGATTTTACTCTTTATAGGTTTATGTTTGGGTAAAATTAACATTTTTATTTTGTTCTACTGACAACATGTCTCAAATGTTACAAGCAAGAATTTAGTTTTTATTGGCTGAACATGAGAAAATATAAAAATAACAAAAAAGATGCAGACCTGAAATAATGCAAAGAAAGCAAGTTCATGTTAATTTAGAAACAACAACACTAATGTTTTAACTCAGTTCTGAAATCAATATTTGGTGGAAACACCAGGAGGTTTTCAGTGGGTTCAGCGCAGTGGGCTTTTAAAGTTTAAATTTTTTTAAAAATAATTATTTGCTCCTCTAATGTATTTCTAATATTATATAAAAAGGTTTAATGCAGAATGTGCCAATTTATTTTATCTGATTAATTGATTTAAGATTTAATTCCTGAGGTCCAATTTATTCTTTAGCTCATGTTTTTCTGCATCTGATTTTATTGTTGACATTTATCTCAGACGGATCCTCTCATGTTTAATTAGATGAGAGTTTATCTAACAATGTGCAGGTGTTGGCCGTCATCATTACTTTTTGTAAACAAATGTCCCTTTTTGGCTCTAATAAGTGAGTTGATTGATCGATATCGATGACTAAAACAGGAGTTAGTTGCATTCTCGCCACCTGTTCCCTCCTCGTTGCAGTGGTCTCGTGCCGACGCTTGGCTAACGGCGCTGATCGCTGCCTCCATCAGTGGCGTTGCCGTGGCGATCACCATGACTCCGTTCGACGTGATCAGCACGCGCCTCTACAACCAGCCGGTTGACGAGCTTCGCAAGGTGAGTTTGGACGATCTCTCCCTTAGATGTTTGTGTGTTTTTAGGGTGAACTCTTCCAGAGGTCAGAGGGGATCTCACCGGGTTGTGATCTGCTCCGCAGGGCCGCCTGTACCACGGGTTCACCGACTGTTTGCTCAAAGTGTGCCAAGCCGAGGGCCTCCTTGGGCTGTATAAAGGCATGGGCCCCGTGTTCCTGCGGCTGACCCCGCACACGGTGCTCAGCATGCTGTTCTGGGATCTGATGAGGCAACAGGCTGTCAAGGACAAATAGAGAAACACTCTGAGCTGAAGCACAGGAGCCTCTGGGACGAGAGAGGGACTGTGTCGCCAAGCGACTCTGAATTTCATCCGAAACTTGACATTTCTGCTGCTTTCTGATTGTTTTCAACCAACGAAAGATGAATTCATTCATGAAGTGGATGATTGCTCATCGGCTGGAAGGAGAGAAGTTCAGGATATTTGCACAAATACTGATGATGAAACATTCTGGTAGCAGAACGCCCATTATTATTTGCTCCTCTATGTTCTCAGACTAGCACCTTTTAGCATTAGCTGCACATCTGATGTGGAAGACGATCAAACTCTATAAAACACTTAATGAAGAGTTGAATGATGAATATAAACCCATTGATCAGGTTTTACAAACAATGGCTTCTTGCTCACAGAGAAGGTTGAGTGGAAGAAAAAAATCTCGCTAAAACACAAACTGCTTTTCATCACAAGCACTCCTGTGTCGTATTTTATGTGTTTTCCTCTTGCCTTATTGTTTATTGTTTGTTTATTCCTGCAAGAAGAAAGATCCTGCAAAGCAGTGAATCTAATTTCCTTCAAGGTTTTTTTTTTTATTCAAGCTTTTCAACACTGGGAACTCCAGGCCCTTTAATTGTTGTAAGTAATCATAATAAACATTTTGTTTTGTAAATATTACCAAAAATGATTTAGAGTTTTGTCTTTTGAATACATCTGGGAACAAAAACCGTTTTATTATTGTTCCTTTCAGATGTAATTTCCCAGAACCTTCAGCCTCTTCCTGGCTCTTTACTGTTTATATTTGGTCGTTAATCTTGATTATTACATAAAGTCTGTTAACACTGACTGCGCTGTCCAACCTGAGCCAAAAGGAGGCAAAAATAAAAAACCTAGAACAGAAAAGAAATAGCCTTTAATATTCAGGTGCACCAACAGTGACAGGCAATAAAAACATGTTGATTCACAAAAAGATAAAAAAAAATTACCAAGGACAAAATTATAAAAATACTGTGCAGTTAATCGCCTTCTGATAAGGATAGATAGGATAATTAAAAAATATATAAAGTATGCATGTTTGTTTGTGTATAAAAGCAAAAATCAATTTACAAGACGTGAAAATAACTGTCCAAACATCAAATTTGTGCTTACAGCTGAATAAACTGATTGATCAGAGATTAAATATATTTTTGGTTTAGAAACAGAAACAGTATTTTTAAATCGTGTGCCTTTCCTCCTGCTTTCAGTTTTATAATTTACCTCTAAGAATTAAACTATAGTTATTGTGGTTGTGACGAGATGCTTTGTATGAAATGTGTATTAATACTTTAGTTCAAACTGGGTTGAAAAATAATGAGGAAGCTCTGAAAGTTCATAAAGTTCAGGGTAATATCAACAATGCATCTGATGGGAGGATTTCTGGGATAAATTTTGAATTATGAAATTAGTTTTCACCTTATAGATGTAATAAAACAACAGAAATTAATAATTATTGTTAAAAATTGTTCCTTAAGTGGAAATAAATGTACAATTGCTGCTAAAAATAAATCAGGACACTGATTGAAGGAAAACTTAAGATTTTTATTAGACACATGACAATAATTAAACATTTTAATGATAGGCATCTTATAATGTGAAAGACATTGTACAAATACACAAAATCGGTTAAAAGATACTGTAATAAAATATCAGATATAAAACTCAGACCCGATTGTTCAGTCATATCTCGGCAAGAGTGTTTAGTTGCTTAAACAAATCTTATCTTTTCAGGGGACTTTCAACCTTTTTCATTGAAATTTTTTAGAGTGGCAACAGGAGTCAAGCTTTTTGACCTTTGACCGGCCAGAAGCTCGGCTCCTCAGCCAGAGAAACGTTTTGCTGGCGAGCGTTCAGTCGGCATGAGTGGAAAATCCTGCTCTGCGTTTAAGAGGAATTAGGAGAAACATGAACATCTTTTCCCCGTTCGTTTGGATCCTGGACATTTTTCAGTGGACTCCTTTCGATTCAAATCCAGTTGATTGTTTTCTTAAAGGTGAGGCCATAGCGATTTCATTTTAACACTTTTTACTCTGATGTATTTTTCCTCTTTTTCATGTGATGTTTTTATTGTAGGGCTGGTAGGAGCCTGTGGAGTTTCAGTCCTCTATAATCTGATTAGAGTTCACAATTTCGTTCAAGCGTGCAGGTGAGTTTACAGTAGAAAAGGAAAATATTTAAAGTTTCCTTTAATTATTTTGAATTTCCTTTGCGCTCAGAGATCCTGACACCCAAAGTGGGCACAGACGGAGGTCGTCTTCCTCCACAAGTCCTCTGAGGAGGAAATGGAGAGCGGCGGTCCAGTTCTGGGGTCTGACCGGCGTCCTCTCTCTGGTGGGCTGCAGGGTTTCCTCTCTCATCGTACTGGAGTTTTCCCTCAGAGCCGTTTCTGCATTGGCCTCCGCCAGACGGGTGAGTTCACAAAATTCACAAAAAGCACAAACTAGAAAACTGTGGTACTATTCAGACAGGGAGTGAGGAGTTAGGAGGGAAAATTACCCCTTAAAAGTTGATTTAAACTTTCACCAAAGCTCAGAATCAAAGCAGTAGATTAGTACAATAAGAATATACTGTGAAAATACACATTATACCTGTGAAACTGAATAAATTTAATACTAATTCTCTACATTTGTGTCCAAAATGCATGAAGGAAAAAGGAACATTATTACATTGATTATGGAAATGTAATAAAGTTATGCCTTTTTGGGAGTAAGTTAGAAAAATAACAACAAAATTTATTTTGAAAAGCATTTTAAAGGATCCTGCTCTATTTAACTTGTGACTATATCCCTGTAGTCATAAATATAGACTGTATTTTGATAGATATGTTTCTCTTGCAGGTCAAAAATCAATCTATTGCACTGTTGTGGAAAAGAAGAGATTAGACATTTCAGCTCTGAAAAGTGGCAAGCATAACAAACATACAGAAAAATTTGAGGAGGTTTGGATTTAATTTAATTTACTTATCAAAGCGACTAATTTTGTAGGTAAGGAAAATTAAATACAAGATTTGTGTGACCCTGATAAATAAGATTAAATAAAATGGAGACAAATAAAGAATAACTAGACATGAAATTAACACAATAAACTAGAATCACTAGAAAAACCAAAGAAAAGCAGAAATTTGTTTGATCTAATCAAAGGAAATTAATTAAGGAACACAGAAATGAACAAAACCCAAAACCAACTCCAACAACCCCAGATTAAAACAGGATCCACAAAACATCAACATTTAATCAGAAAAGTTTTTAAAGCACCAAAAATAACAAATGTATGAATGGCTCCAAAAACAAAACACATTTTGGTTGCCTCACGTTTGGACTCTTTTCCGGCCTTGTTTTGTCTGAATTCAGGGCGTCGGGTCCAGAGCTCTGGAGTTGCTCCTGATCCAGAGCCAGTTCTCTCTGGGCTGCAGCCTCACCTGCACTCTGGCCTTCATCCACCAGGGGGCGCTGCACAGCTCCTTCGGCCTTCTCCTGGCCGCTGCGCTCAGCTGGGCATTTGCGAGCTACAGCAGCGGTCTTTGGCGCCATGTGGCCAGGCTGTTCCCGCTGCACAGGACCGATGGTTACTGCGGGAAGTGCATCAACCTCCTAACCTCTGGACACACCATGCTGGCCTCGCTTCGCAGGGTGGTTATCTTGGCCTTTGGCGCAGCAGCTGTGGCTTCCACCACCACGGTTTACGAGCACTTCTTATCCCAGAAGGACGCGATGAAGTTCTGGACTCTACTCACTCTCTGCTACACCATGTTGGTGGCCTACAACCAAGGTGAAGATGATCCTGATCAAAGAGATGATCGTCTGCGATCTGCAGCCACGCGTGGCTCCTCACGTTGTCTCGCAATGACGTCAGCCAAAACAGTGTAGAACTGAGTAGTGTTTTTAAATATAAAGATAACTTGAAAGGGTAGTTTTTGGCTATATTTAAAGTGTTTTCATCCAAAATCTGCATAAAATTTCCACAGCAGAATAATACAGATAAAATAAACTTTCCAGCGAAGGAAATAAATAGATTCTCATGTTTTCTTCCTTCTAAAAATTGGTATTTGGAATAAAATACAACATAAACATTTAGTCAGTTTTGCTAAGTATTTTTTAAACGTTCATGTAGGTTTTTCTGCTTTAAATTGGTTGGATTTTGTTAATAATAAAACAACATCCAACCAATGAATAAGGCTCTACTGATCAAAAAAGTTGTTTATCCCTGTTCTAGTGTGCACACTAGAAAGATATGCTTAAAAAAATAGCAATTAAAAACAGCTGATTGACAGAGTCTGAAACTATAAAAATACAAAAAGTGAAAAATAGCAATAGAATAATTGCAATTAAACAAACAAACAAATTTATGTCAGGATCTGAATCTACACAAATACAAAAAGTAAGAAAAACCTAAAATGAGTTATTGCAAAGCAGAGGAAACATATTGTCAAGATAGTTCAGGTAAATACATTGAAATGAATGAGCATTAGTGGGGAGAAATTAGTAAATATATAACTATTTAAGAAGTATATTCAAATAGTATTCACTGAAAGTCAAACCAGATATGATGTGGTAACAATTGGAAGTTTTAGTCAAAATAAAGTATGAAAGTTATATTTTTTTTATTGCAGTTAAAACCATTGTAGATGAAAAGCCATAACTGAGGAAATGAAGCTAGGTCAACAATAAAATACCCTCTTAAATTTAAAAGAAATGGGCCTAAGCGCAGTCTAGCTTATGAAAATGGGTTGCTAAGACTAATTAGCCAATAGCTAACTATTCTTTAGCTTCCTGTATGAAATGCATGCTAAAAGAATGCTAACAGCTAAAACTGTTGGCTAACGATTCAGAACATTTTAGAAAAACTTTTAAATGTTTAGATTGTTTGCACTGGCGAAGCTAACAAATTGACCAACCAACAGTTAGCTTACAAAACACACAAAAATGGAAACCGGACCATAGTTAAAGAAGTGGGATTTGTTTTGTATTGGTTTATGACAGGAATGCTGAACTTTTTAGCTAATTTAAAAAAAAATGGTGAAAATAAATCATCTGCCATTCATGAAGCTGTTGGCTGATAGTACAGTTTTACTTGGTTACAGTTTTAGAAAACTTGTTAAATATCTGAATTGTTTGTGCTTGTTTAGCGACAAGTTTTGCTAACATTTGGTTTGTGTAAGAAAATATTTGAATCGGAGATGCTAAAGTTGGGTTATTTTTTGAACTTATGGAAAAAAAAATGTTTTTTTTTTTATGGAAAGCATCCAGTTGAAGATTCATCCATACTCAAGATTAGCTGATGGCCTTGAGGGTTTTCAACATTTACAGAAAACATCTGATTAGGAAAAGCTTCGTAGGAAGTAAATGTCTGCACCGGTTATTTAAATAAGCATGTTAAACTAACTAGGTAACTAATAGTAACAAAAAATAACACCTTGAACCACTTTTCAAATCAATAAATCAAGTTTATTTGCATTGCAATGCAAGGTGCTTTTTACTTAATAAAAAGACAAAATTACAAAGTCATGAAGAAAACTTGTTTGTTCAGCAACTGAACAAACATTACACTTTGATTTAAAAAAAAATCAAATACATCAGAGATGTAGGTCAGTTTTTAATTCATTATGTTTCAAAAGCAACTCTAAAAATCAGACTTTAGTCTTCGTTTAAAGGACATCAGTGTTTTGGCTGTTATGCAGTTTTCTGGACGTTTGTTCCAGATTTGTGGTGCACAGAAGCTGAATGAATTTTTCTTTCTATCTGCAGAGGAACAACATCGGCTGAGCATCACAGAGACCCTGCTGCGCACCGTGGCGCTGCGACTGGGAGGCCTGCTGGTTCTCATGCTGGCAGTGGGAAACTGGACAGACGTTCTCCACATCCTCGTCGCTTTCCTGGGAGAAGGAGTCTGTCTGCTGCCCTCTGAGGATCTGCTGCAGGCTGCGTTAAAGGTCCTTCCTGTCCTGGATTGTTCAACGGCCTTATTATGAGGAACTTAAAAGTGACTGCTCAAACTTGTCTTGTTTGTTTTCAGAAAGAACGAGAAAGCAACCAGGACAAACAGAAGACCTGCCACAGGTCAAACATGAGAACACACCATCGTGAGTCAGAGGAACGGGCTCAGTGTTTCTAGAAATGCTCTGAATTTAGTTTTGAATTGGTGAGTGGTATCTGAAATAAAGTTTGGACAAGAAGGAGAAGGAGATAGTTCTGAGTATGTAGTTGGTAGCCAAAGGAAAACATTTCTGTTTCCTTTCAGGCTGAAAGAATTATTGAAAATTTCTTAAGTCTTATATCTTAGTCAAACTTCTTATGGACATGAAAACATATAAAAAACTAAAAACGTTCTGAATGCATGCACCAGATTTATTTTAGTTGAAGTCGTGACTTTTTTACACAATTCACCTTTGAATATTTCTGCAGAAAAAGGAAATTCTTAAGCATACCGTCACTGAAGTCTCGCTCTACCTCCATGGTTCCCTGATTGCTCCCACATGTTATCAACTTTTTCTCTACTACATGAGCTCACAGGAAAACCTTTTAATCTTATTTCTTGCCCAGCATCTTGCAGGACCAGATGCTTTCATGAGAAACTTTCTCATAAAACAACAATATCCAAGTTTTTAGCAGTAAAATAACACGGGACAAAGGGCTATTCTGTCTTTCCAGGAGTAGCGGATATTACCGCAGCTCTGAATTATGCTACTGTACATTCAGTCGGTCAATTGATCTGTCATCATCGATCTGAGGCGAATTCTTCACCTTCCCAGGGGACAATCATTATCATACATACAAACAGATGTGGGCCTCCTTTTATAACTATAATTTATTTTCACTCAGAGATGAGAATCATTGAGAAAATTACAATGAGCAATTTATGCAATCTAAGGCTGCAAGTCATTATTATTGTAGCAATCAATCAGGTTTAACTTCACATTCTGCAGATTTTTCATTAAAGCTTTTTTTGTATAAAACTATAAATACAACAAAAGAAGCAGGTGAAGATACAGCTATGCCGCTTTGGGTAGAATACATTTACAGACAGGTATATTTTTTACTTAAATGCAAAATGTATAAGATTTTTGTACATTTTTTGGTTTAATTACTGCTCTGAGAATGTCGTTCTTTCAGAAATTTTTATTTTAAAAGTCTGTATCCTTCAGTTGATGATTAATCAATGACTAAATCAGTTAACAATTATTTCAATAATCAATTCACCACATTTCAGCAAAGAGTAAATGTATTTGTGATTAAACAACTGTATGTTCCTACTTGAAAGAAATATGTGTAAGTAGCAATGAAGAGAAAATGTAAAGACTGATAATAATAATAATAATAATAATAATAATAATAATAATAATAAAGTACAGTAGTTTTATGCTGTGTGGATCCTTTACTTCAGCAGGAACAGGCTGCAAAAGACTAGAGACTGGAACAGAGGTTCACCTTTATCAGGTCAGTGACCCTAACCACGTTTCCATAGCCACGACAGAATTTTAAAAAGCATGGCCTAGTCAAAGTACACACCAAAATCCAACTGAGAAGGATCGTAGACGAGCAACAGATTTGTTTATACCAGATTTGTTTACTCCACAAATCCTTTGTAATTTTTTTTAGGATTTTAGAAATACAAATATCCTTTATTTCTGTGCAACAGCAGCAAAGTGATAGGAAATCACACAACGATAGAATATAAAATACAGAATAAAAACAGAATAAAGGGCAAAATGTTAACATAAATAGTGTGTAGTTATGAAAAAATTGCAATGACGTTGGTTGATTAAAAAATTTGCATCTCTATGTCACACCATTTACAATTAGTGAGAATAATTTAATAATTATATAATTTTGTTTTCAACAAACAAAGTCCTTTCCTGGGTGTTGAGGGAACAAAAGGCGGTGAAAAGCTACTCTGCTCTGACGGCAGGTCAGAAATGAAAAGTCAGGGTGCAGAAGGAGGTTCACAGGGTTTAATGAGGATTTGGGCTGTAAGGGGGCGGAGCCTGCAGGCCCTGGGATTGTATCATCCGTGGGCATGCTCCCTCCTGCAGCCGTGACATCACCGCAGCATTCCTTTCCACAGAGCTGGAACAACAGAGACCCCCATCACTCTCCTCATCGCCATCTCCTGTTAACCCTCTCTGCACGCCCCCAAATCTGCTCGGTTTCCAACATCCCTTTTTTAGCTTTGAAGGAGCGGAGTGGACGTCACAGACTTTTGAAAGTAGCCATAATATTTGCTGATCAGCAGCCCTGATATGACGGATTCAGTCCGGCGTTTTGATTGCTCCACACATCAAAACGCCACAAAGCGCAGAGATGCTGATAACCAGGAAAAGTTTGAGTGCGTCAAATGGTGTGTCCCAAAGTGGAGCTCTGCAGGGGCCAAAGGCTGCTAATGCCATAAGATACTGATAGTGAGTCAAGTCCAAAAGTGATATAATGTGGGGGAAGGGAAGAAGGAAAGAGGGGGAAGAAGAAAAAAAAGGAGGCAGACCCAATGAGGGAGGTAGTGAAAATAAGGTTAAGAGGACAATAAGGCAGAGCTGTACAGGAGAGACGAAACAGAGGAGAGTCAGAGGTGCTGTGAGCACCAGGTACGGTCCAATCCGGATAGATAATAAAATGGGAGTTGGCTGTGTGTCTGCGTGTCCATGTCAGGGTGAAAAACCCTTTATGACACTGTAAAAACACTGCTGTTGGGACAACTGCACGTTGCACAACTCTGTGTGAGCGTACATGCATCTGAGTGAGTGTATGACTGTTCCAGTGTTTGCCAAGTTTTCATAGTGGATGAATGTGTCATGACTTTTTTTCTTCTTCTTTCTCTTTCTCTCTCTCTCTTTTTTTTTCACTGCACTTTGCCAGAGATTAACTGTTCACTTTTTATGGTCAGGAGGGAGGCTGGGTTGTCATTCAGCCAGAGAAAGGAGGAGGGGTCGGCAGACGGCAGAGCTGGGGAGGGGAGGGAGATAGAGGAGGAAAAAGGAGTGGCTTTCTGCAGATAGGCGCCCCTCTCCACCGGAGTAAAGTCTTCTCTCACAGGCAGCTCATGGGAGTGGAAATAAAACAGAAACTCTGATATCCAGACCAAAGAAGAAAAAGATAAAGACTTGACTTCACGCCTCCTTTTGTACCAGGTAAGCTGGAGCCAGATGATTTGGATTCCTTCCTCTGAACCATTCATTGTGTCTGATGAAAGCTGAAAGTGTGATTATTCCTCTGAGGAGGAAAGTGAACAGCCTCTTAATGCTGACTGAGGGCGTTAACCTGTCTCTCTCTCTCTTGGTAATGACCTCTGGTCTGTGCTGCAGTCAGGCTGTATGAGGGTTTCACTCAACCATGGCATCAGCAGCTCCACAGAAAAGGATGGTCTCCTCCGTCTTCATCACTCTGTCGTCCCCTCACCGAGCCACCGTGACACAGCAGCAGCAGCAGCAGCCGGCCCTCCGCACCCACAGCGGCCCAGACAGGCAGCACAGCGCTGCAGGTGATGACCTCTCCTCCCTCCGGCGGAGAGCAGAGGAGACGTCACCCACTAACACTGGCAGAAACTGGACCGGTGCGGGGCCCCGGGCCAGAGCGTCCGTCCCTCAGAGTCAACCCCGACCTGCCCCAACAGGAGCCACCAAAGCTGAGGTGCAGGAGAAAAACAGCAGCTCTTCAGGTATTCATGACCGAGCTTGTTTTAAAGTGTTTGTTCCTCATTTTCAGCCTTCATTGGATCCCAACGGTTTCACTCGGAAAGCTGCTTTAGGAAGCAGAGGTTCCTAATCCAAACCTCCTCTGGCGTTCTGCACAGAAAAGAGTTCATGTTGGAAAACATTTCAGACATTAATCAAAGCAGGGGTGTCCAAACTTTACGCTAAAATCTTCCAAAGTACAAGAAAAACAATAAAACTATAATCTACACTACAAAAATACAAATATTTTTGGTCTAGTTTCAATTGCAAATATTTTTGTACATTTAAAAAAAGACAAAACTTGCTTACAGGTAACTTTTCTGCAAAATATAGCAGCTTGTTTTAAGTATATAATTCTTAAATATTACTGATTTACAACAAGACATTTTTCTTATGTCTTAAATTAAATAATTAGCCAGTGAAATTGGTACAGTTTTATCAAAATCAAGCAATTATTCACTTAAAACAAGCTGAAACATTACTTTTAAGTTAGGTTTGTCTAATTTCAAGAGAACTAAGATATTTGCTAAATAAACTCAACCAAAAATATTAGGTAAGATTTTGTGTTTTGCAGTGAAGCAAATAAAGTAGACTTAATTTCTTTTCTTTTTTTGGTGGGAAAGGGATGTTATTTATCATAGATCCAAAACTTTATTTGATATTTGCTTCTCAAATTCTCTTAAGCTCTGTTGAATACATTTATTCTGTCATGAAACTAAATTTAGCCGAGGTTTATAAATTAATTAAAATCTAATTTGGATGCAGCGAAGTCAGCTTTTCAGTAAAAGTCGCTGGATAGACGTGGTTCTACTTATTTTGTTTTATTTATGCACTGCTGAGTTTCAGGAGGTCCCCATGCTCTCTAATCTTAAATAACTGTAAAGTTCAAAAATTAAATTTAAAAATGTAAGACTGAAAATTGTATTAGTATTATTTTGTTTCCACATTGAAAAAAATAAAAAGAATTGTGCTCTAAAGGCAGAGACAACAACATCAACTTGGCAAATATTTAAAACCTACAAATGTTTAAAAAAAAAAAAGAAAAAGAAAGCAAATAGTTAAAGATGATATTTTTGGGTGGTTTCATCTGTAACATTTATTGAAGTGTCATGTTTATAACAACTTGTCATAAACATGAAAGAGTCTTTATGTATGTATGAATGCTGTCATGACGTGTCATTCAGTAAATAATGAATTTTTAATACAAAATTTTATTAAAAGTCCATTATAAATATCAACTTTCCATCAAAAGTGTTATTATTTATTCATGACAACATTCATAAAGACGCCTTCATGTTTATGACAGTGTCATGTTAATTCCTATCCAATAAAACCATTTCTTCCATAAAGTAAATCTGATTTTGTTGATTTCACTCCCAAACAGAGTTTTTCCCTCCTCCTCCTCCTGACGTTCTACCTTCATCGTTCTCTGAAGGTGCAGCTCTTCCTCCTCTTCCTCCTCCTCCTCCGTCCCTGACGTCTCCCCTCCATCCACAGAGTCCTGACCAGATTCCAGTTTCCAACAAAGAGGTATCGCATCCCATTAAAACCTCGTTTTTCACATCATAATATACAGTTCTAATACTGGTGATTTTTTTTTAACGTCTCGCAAAGTCTAACAAACTCATGTCTTGGAGAAACAGCAAACTGAGAAGAAAACAAAATAAAATTCCTCACAATAGCGTACTTCAAAACATTTTGTTTTATTATTGTCTGGACTAAATAAAATGGAACAAAAGACAAGGAAGAGGGAAGAGATCGCAACAGAAGATCCATTGTTTTACTGGTCTGTGTGTTTTTCTTTGAAAGTCTTCCTGCAATTTTCTTCATTGTCCAGATTTTTCCTGCACGTTTTCAGATGCACGAGATTTACAGTTACCTCATCTGCAGCTGTGGAGAATTTGACACAATTTATAGATTTAGAACAACAGAATAATTCATAGTTTGTTGACATTTATATGTTGTGACCTTCCCAAAATAATGGCTTGCATATTTTTTATTTTGCCAGAAGTGATTTTTTTGTAAAAATAACAATAAAATAAATAATAATTTTAAAAATTATAATAAATAAATAAATAGATTAAAAAAAAACCTCTTTCTTTCCAAAAGATGTTTCAGGCCAAAAAAAAAAAAAAAAAAAATCACTGTTGGCAAAAAAAAAGACTTAGAACATCATTTAAGAAAAACTGGACCAGGACAGATATTTGAGTCTCTATGTTGTTAATAAATTGTGTTTTTCAAGTGCTTTTTTCAGTCTTAGTTTCCTTTTGCATTAATTATTTATTACATTTTCAGGTAAGCGCATTTTCACCAACCAGAGGCTCAAAACATGATGAAGAAACTAACGAGATTCACAGAAGGAGCCGAGAAGTGACCACAGAGAGCAAAGGTTGCAAGATTTACACTTTCAGTTTAACATGAATCATTGTCTGATCTTAACTTTTGTAATATTTGCAACTGTGCAGATTTATGTGGCTTCTGTCGGAAACCCATGGGCTTTTCTGAACCTGCGATAGAAGCCCTGAACAGGATTTACCACGAGGGCTGCTTCCAGTGCAGATCCTGCCACGTTCCCCTGGCCGGGAAGCAGTACTACAACAAGGCAGGAATCCCTCTGTGTGAAGACTGCTATCAGGTGGGTCATCGCTCATTTACCTCCAAGAAAATAAATCAAGGTTAATTA